GAGAGATCTAGGACTTCTTAACAGCACACACAATGGACGGAGGCTGGTTCAAGAAAAAGGTGGGGGCTGTCTCAGCCCGATTCACCTCTTCTCCAGGAAATGACACACCCATCTCGGCCCCCATTTCCTTCCGCCAAGAGTACCACGTAGGCTTCAACAAAGAGACGGGCAAGTTCGAGGTACTACACCTTCCTCCCATGGTTTGCCAGTTCCTTCCATTCTCTCGAATCCACTACGCTTTCAATTGAACGAATTATGTCAATTTATTATTTGGGGGGGGGGGCTCTCAATGGCACTCCTGCCCATTCGAATTATCATGCTATAAGGATTATTATTTTGATAGTGTTGGATTGGAGGTGAAGATGGCTAAGGATGTGACGTGGGGTGTGTGTGTGCACAGGGTAATTTGCCCAAGGAATGGGTGACGCGACTGGCCGCGTCAGGCATCACGCAGGAACAGATGCAGGAGGACACGACCACCCTAGCCGCGGTGATCCAATTCCACGATCACCTTCTCGGCCGCGAGGATGAACAACCCAGCCCTCCCACAAGTACCGCCCCTCTGCCTTTTTTTTGATTTTATCTTTATTAGGACAATTTCGAATTATAATTCTAATATCATCATTTTTCGCTCCCGGCAACGCGCCCAGACAACCCACACCCGCTGCACTCAAGCGCGAGCTCGGGCGCGCAACGCTACGAGCCGGGAGGCGGCCGGGGCCATGCGCGGACGCTGTCGGGGTCGGCCACGGCCGGTTCCAAGGTGGCGCGATCGCCCTATCGCACGCCCATCCCCGCCAAACCCCTCCCGCCCCCGCCCGGTTCGTCCATCGGCGGTTCAGCTCCCGCCTCTCCCGCCTCCTTCTCGCCCGCCGCCTCGCCGCGCTCCTCTCCCACCGGCAGTGCCATCCAATCTCCTCCCATCCCCGCCAGCGGACTCCAAAAGGTTCGTCTTCTCTTTCTCCCTCCCCCCCTCTCTCTCTCTTCGTTCTTTCGTTTTTGCCGATTGCGCTGAGCAACCTTGGTCTAACCTGACGTCGTCTTCGCTCTTTGTTCTATTTCTCTTTCGTTCTTTTTCTGTCGCTTTCTTTCTTTCTTTCTTCTTCTTTCTCCGCACCTTCAGCCTTCATATATCGCGGCGGGCCGCGGCGGCGGACTCAGCGGGAGCGGAGGCGGGCAGCGACTATCCTATCGGGCACCGCTGCCCTCGGCTCCCGGCTCGGGTGGTCCACCCGGCTCGGCGCCCATGCGGCCACCGCCACCGACCGGCCGCGGCAGGGGCGGTGCGCCGCCCATGCCCCAGCAGCTGCCCAAGCCCTCGTTCCAGGCGCCGCCGATCCCCTGCCACCAGCCTCACCCCGTCGGCGCACCGCGGGAGGAGGACGGCCCGAGCGACAACGGCCACAACGGAAGTGGCGGCGGTTCGATGGAAGCGCTGCCCACCCTCGGACCCGACGTCGACGTCGAGGACCTGGTGTCGCACGAGGACCCGCTCACCCTCTACTCGGGCATGCAGCTTCTTGGGCAAGGGTACTCTCCAACCCTGTCGTGTGTGCGTGTGCGTGTCTTGTCGTGCCACGTGTGCGGTTGTGTGTGTGTGTGTGTGTGTGTGTGTGTGTGTGTGTGTGTGTGTGTGTGTGTGTGTGTGTGTGTGTGTGTGGTGCTGAGACAAATGTGATGCGTGCAGAGCGTCCGGAGCGGTCTACAGTGCCACGGATTCGCGAAATGGCAAGCTGGTGGCGATCAAACAGATGGTGATGGCCAAGCAGATCAAGCGGGAGATCCTGGTGAACGAGATCCGAATCATGAGCGAAAGCCGTCACCCCGCCATCGTACAATATATTGACAGGTACGCATCCACCACCACCACCACCCCACCCCACCACCACCGCGAGCGCCGTGCGCTGACGCCGACTGCTCGATACTGCCGCGGTTGCTGACGTGGCGATGTCTCGTTTGTGTCGGCACAGTTACATTGTTGGCGGTTCGTTGTGGGTGGTGATGGAGCTCGTCGAGGGAGGATCGCTCACCGAGATCATCGAAAACATCCGCCACGAGGTGCGAGAGGACCACATGGCCGCCATCTGCAAGGCCACGCTCGAGGTACTCTCTCACTCCTCATTCCAAACATTCTTCTCGCGAGTGCGCTCACACGCCACACGCCACACGCACACGCACACAATGTAGGGTTTGCATTATCTGCATACGCGCCCGCATCCGATCATCCACCGCGACATCAAGTCGGACAACATCCTGGTGGGCCTCGACGGCGCGGTCAAGATCACGGACTTTGGCTACGGCGCGCAGCTGGGCGGCGGATTCGCCGACGAGAGAATCTCCGTCGTGGGCACCACCTACTGGATGGCCCCCGAGGTCGTCACCGGCAAGAAATACAAGGTGAACCCCATGCGCGCGTGTTGTGTTGAATTCACACACTTACGCACACCACCGCACACGCACACATGAAACACACACACACACACACACACACACACACACACACACACACACACACGAAACATAAACAGACGAACGTGGACGTGTGGTCGCTCGGCATTATGGCGCTGGAGATGGTGGAGGGCGAACCGCCCTACATGGGCGAGCCGATGCTCAAGGCGCTCTACATGATCGCCAAGGAGGGCAGGCCGGCGTTCAAGAACCCCGGCGGCATGTCCCCCGACCTCAAGGACTTCATTGAACAGTGTACCATTATGGATCCCGTCGACCGCCCCTCCGCCGCCCAGATGCTCCAGGTACCACGCGTGTGTGTCGTGTGTGTTGCGCGCGTGTGTTGTGTGTCGTGTTCGTGCGCTGATGTGTGTTGCGTGTGTGCGGCGGACAGCATCCATTTTTGCGGCGAGCGTGCAGGCAGGACCAGCTCGTGCCGCTGGTCATCTCGAACAAGAAGAAGAAGGATGCCGAGGCCTCGATCCACGCGGCCTTCCTCATCTAAGTTTCGTGCACGCCTGGCCCCAAAAAGAACGAAGAATGAAAGAAAGAAGAGAGTTTCACATTGTAATTTCTCAACAGCGAAGAGCGAAGAGACATCCACAAATATTAAAATATATCAAATGAAAATGAGGGTGTAAATAAACAACAATCTTGTCTCCACCATTCCTGCGTTCTTCTGCATCTTAGTTCACTCAAAAGGCGCGGGATGTAAATAATAAAATAATAACAAACAAAAAAAAAGGGTGAAAGATTAAATAAATGGAAAGCGAAGAGGCGCGAAGAGATGGGGGCGGTCCTCCCATCTATCGTTCGGCGACGGTTCACTTCAAGCTGCCTGACGAGATCGCCCAACGCATCTTGTCCTGGAGCCAGGCTCACATTCCCGACGATTGGCTCTTCGATCCCGCCTCTCTCAATGCTCCATCTCCATCTCCATCTTCCGGTTCATCAAAGAAGCCCATCAAGAACAAAAAGCAAGCTGTGCCAGTTCACGACAAGAAGAATAAGAAGATGACCGCTGGTGCGATGTCGTCCGTGTTCCTGCCGCCGTGCATGCGCGTCACCGAACCGCATGTGACCATCCTGGGCGGCCTGCGCGAGGTCGACTTCGAAGCCATCCGGCGCGACCTGCAGTCCGACGACCAGCCCGACCACTTCGACCTCCAGTTCGGCCGCGTCGCGATCTGGAACAGGCACACCACCCCGTGCGTGTCGTGCCGTGCCATGCAGTCGTGTGTGTGTGTCGTACGTGTGACCATGCGTGTCGTGTTGTGTGTGTCGCGTGTGTCGTGTGTGTGTGTGTCGTGTGTGTCATACCAAGCGCTTACAATGACACGCACGCGCGCACACAGTGGGTACTACGCGGTGGTGGTGGTGAATGTGGCGGCGACGAAGCCGATGAACGATCTGTTCCGGCGGCTGGGGCGGCACCCGACGCAGTCGACGTCGGACAAGGGCCGGAACAACTACAAGCCGCACCTCACGATCGCCTACATCCGCAAGGACAAGGCCGAGGCCCTCCTCCACTCGCTACGCGCCATCAACAACAAGAAGAAGAGCGGTGACTACAACAAGACAGCAACGACGGCTGAGAGGAAAAAGATGAACAAGGAAACAGAGGAGGAGGAGAAAGAGGGATGGAGTGATGAGGTTCGATGGAAGAGAGAAGGTGGTGGTGGAGGGGGAATTGAGTTCATGTTGAATGAAACATGTGTGGTGGACAGTTTTGAGTTTGGGTGGCGTGATGGCACCACCACACTAATTCCAAGAATACCCTAAACCCACGCCAGGGACCACAATCCTTTTTTTACTTGTTTGTCACACGCTTGTTAAACAGCCAACTGGTGAGGGGTACATGGGCCACAGACAAGCTGAGGCTGGTTGAATGGATAGTTGAGAAGGCGCTGTTGGGTGAGACAGCTTGCGCAGAAGATGCCACCACACACGCGGCAGTGATGTCGCCTGTTCAACAACAAGCCAAACGCCTTTGCGCAGCCCTGGCACTCAGCACACTACATCAAATCGAAACAACCACATACAATGTGTTAGTCACACACTCAAGCATGTTTGAACATAGATCATGCCACGTACTTCTTCGTCTGGAACCCAACGCATGTGCGGCTCTGGTTGGTCGCTGCTCGGTGCGGTGCGCGTCTCTCTGCTGTACATGTCGAGCCACTTGGCCGCCACCCGCACGCCGTCCTCTTCTTCCGAGCGAAGCACCTCCCCCAATCGGGCGGCCTTGTGTTTGATGTCTGGGCCGAGGAACCAAGTGTGAGTGCGCAGACGTGTGTGTGCGGTCGTGTGCGGCAGTGCATGTGCGTTGGACGAACCATCAGAGGCGGTAGCGACGATCTGAGCTTCGAGCGATTCCTGCGTCATCTCCTTCAGCGGCACCACCTCCGGCGGACCCACGCCCAGCTCGGCCAGCTACAATCAACGTGCGTGCCTCCATTCGGTCAAAATGGGAGGCTGGCCAAGAGAGGCGTCACACTGTACCCTGTGCGCCCAAAAGGGCTGGTCACCGAAGAAGGGAAATATGATCGTGGGAATGCCGGCCCGTAGACTAGCAGCCGTGGTCCCAGCGCCTCCGTGGTGGATCGCCTAACATCACATCCCATGTGTGAAGTGGGTTGGGTGTGTGTGGTGTGTGGTGTGTGTGGTGTGTGTCTAATTGATGATGGTGGCGGTACGATGGAGCAGCGAGGGAAGAGCAGTTCGTGGGGCACGTCTTTGACAAGGAGCACGTGGGGGTGGCCCTGCGTGGCCTCGTGGAAGCCCTCCTTGGACCACCCGCTGCACAGGATGCCCCGCATGCCCAGGCGCTCCAGCGCAGCCACGAATTGAGTGGCGGTCGCCCGGGCGTCCTTGAGCGGCATCGACCCGAAGCCCATGTACACCGGCGGAGCGCCCGCGCTCAAAAAGTCTTCAACTTCCTGAACACGACACGACACGACACGACATGACACGACAAGACACGAGACGAGACGAGACGAGACGAGACGACACGCGCGTAATGATGAGACTTGAATATGTGAGCGGTGGTGGCGACATGATACCTCCGGAAGCTGTTGGTCGGATGAGGGCCGTATGGTCCAGTAGCCGGTGACCCTCACGAACTCGGGCCAGTCATGCGCGCGCGGAGCTACCTGGTGGTACCCACCATCGAGATGAGACGACACGAGACACGACACATGGGTGAGTGCGCGAATGACACGATGCAGTGCTTGTGCAGAAAACGGACCTCTTCGCTGTAGAAGCATAGCATGGGCGCGGCGTCCATGTGGTAGGACTTCTGCGGCGGCAGCTCCAGCTCCTTGCGGAACTTGTTGATCATCGGCCCCCCCGTAAGAGCCCAACCAGCTGAGCGCGTCGCGGTGACATCAGGTGAGTGACATTGACGCGGGTGTCGTTTCACGTGTGTCGTGCCATGCGTGGGTGCCTTGCGAGTGGGTGGGGGGGAAGGTACTCTTAAAGACGAGCCAGTGGAGCATCAGGTTGAAGACGCCGACCGAAAAGGGCTTGGCCCGGACCGTCACCAGGGCGTACTCGCGCGACGGGTACAACGGGATGGAAGCACCAATCACCAACGGGCGCCTCAACTTCTGCGCAATCGCCAAACCCTGCGTGTGTGCGTACGTGCGTGCGTGTGCGGTCGTGCGTGTGCGTGTGTGCGGCCGTGCGTTGAATTGCTGATGCACCAATAATGCAGTGGTGCGTACCTCGCTGATGGAGACGGCGCTGGCCAGAATCAGGTCGGGGCGGTAGTCGTCCGCCGCGGCCCAGCTCAGGCGGTAGTTGATCTCGGCCACCTTCTTCGTCTCCTCGAGAAGAATGTTGGCCATGTCCATCATACCTGCGGGCCGCCCGAGACTGAGCCGACAGACGACAGAGAGAAGAGAGGGGGAAGGTGGTGCGCACCTCCCTCGTAGGCGGCCTTGACGAACTGGTCCGAGTGCAGAATGGCGCCCGGGTCGCCTTCCAAGGGGTACAGCCGCACCGTTCCGGCCGTGTGCTCCTGTGCGCATAGCAACAAGCCAAACAATTTGTTACAAGGGAAGCCGAGATATGGTCAAAGACGATGCCAGCTGATGGGTGGAAGTGAGTGAAAGTGGCCAACCTCGACAAAGCTGGCGAAGCATCCGTGTGTAGCGATGGCCACATCCCACTTGTCCTCCTTTTGGAGCTCGAGCGCTGGAGGACCACACCATGGTGTTTAGTGACTTTTTTCAAATTTACCAAAAACAACATTCCAGCACCACTAAGGAATGCAACTAACAAGAGGGTGGTTGAGGCGAACCGAGAGCCAGGAACGGCTGCACGTCGCCGCGCGTGCCCGTGGTGATCATGAGCAGCTTCTTCTTCCTCTTCGTCGCATTCGTCGTGGCACCAGTTTCTTTGTCCTCTCGTGGTGGCTCCTCGGCTTCTTCTTCGTCCAATTCGGCGGGCGCTCGCGACTTACCCTTCTCCTCCCGGCTGGCCGCGGCCGCATGCTTTTCGTCCTCCTGCATGTTGTTGCCGAACAGTGTGGCAGCGCGCCTCTTTGTGAATGACCACCAGAAACTTCTGACGAACTTCTACTCATTTGATCTGCTGACGTTAGCGCACCCTTTAACCATCACTTGAAAGGGTTGCTGACGTCAGCCGATCTTCACTTCACCCACTCCCACTCCAACAAACTTCGCCCCCTGACGCTGTGCACAAACACCCAAGCAAGCAAGTGGAGAGATGGAAGACAAGCAACAGGTGGCAACGGAAGCCTCAGCGGCGGTCGACGAGCTGCAGGCCAAGCTCAAGGCGCAGGAGGACGAGCTGGCCAAGCTGCGCCAGCTCAACGAGCTGCTACTCGAGCGCATGAACAAGAAGGACAAGCGCTCCATCAAGTCGCTGACCTCTGCCACTGCCGGCATCGATGGCGCCGCGGACCAGCAGGAGTACGAGGCGTTCGACGTCAAGAAGGTGCCGGTGCGTCACCGAGAGACGAACGAGATCATCGACCACGACCACATCGTCACCGTCAAGGACGCCCAGCTCATCCAGTACCTGCGCAATTGGGTGGTACGTCAGCCAAACAATTAATGTTATTTTAACTTCAGTTTTTGGTTTCAGTGAAACCGATTTCATTTTATTTCTTTATATTTTATTTCTTTATGCTGACTTGGCATTGTGTCGTGGGGGGCCGCAGCATGTGGACTCGCTGTACGCGGAGCCGCCCACGGCCAAGGCCGACGAGCTGTTCCAGGCCAGGTACGCGGCGGCCCGGGGCTGCCATTGCATAGCAACAAGAAGAAGCTTTGTAAACTGGTGTGTTGCACAGGAACCAACTGAAGCAGCTGGTCCAACTGGAGAACGTGGCCGAATTGCAGGGGTTCCTGGACACCCTGTATGGCGACATGGTCAAGCGCTACGACAACATGCTGGCCGAGGTGCGTGCCTCGCTCACATCGATGATGTTTGTCTGTTTTTTATATAAGCTCACACGATTTGTTTGGTGGTGGGGTGAGGCAGGGTGTGATCAGCTACCGCGCCCTGTGGTACCTGTTCACCAAGGGCAAGAAGGTGGTCGGCAAGACCGACACCAACTTCTCGGTCGGCGCCGGTACACCCACATGCTCAACCACCAAGCTTGCCCACAACCTGAGGTCTGACTATAATCATCTTCTCCCTCTCAGAGATCGTGTCGTCGCAGTACCGCGGCGGCATCTTTCCCAGCTTCGAAGTCAACGGCTCCGTCATCAAGGCCAACGGCAAGGAGGTGAGCGGGGTGGTCGCCGGTTTTAAGTGAATCTGTTGCTGACGTCATCACACGTGTCACGCGTGTCGTTGTTAGTTCTACACCACGTCGCAGTCGTTCCGCGTGCTGCCCTATGTCGGCACCCGGAAGCTGGAGGACCTGCCCCTGCGCCTCCTCGACGAGAAGACCGAAGCAACCATCACCGCGCGCGGCCGCAAGGTGCCCTCCACCGATCATCATCGGTCTTCGCCACCCACATCTTCATCAATAACACGCACACGCACACGCGCCACCGCACACGCATACGCACACAGTTTGCGCGACTGGCGGTGGGTGTGCACTACCAGACCTACAAGGGCTACGTGGCCCAGAAGGAGGGCTGGTGGGGCTACCAGCTCTACAAGGCCGATGGGCGCTGCATGCTCGACGGCGTGAGTTTCAACCGGCTCAACCCCAACTCGCGCTCGGCCGACCTGGGCGGACTCAACCAGGACCAGTACAATCAGCAGACCAACAGCTTCGAGGCCATCCCCGACGAGAAGCTGTTCATGGTGCTGAGCTCAGCCGCCACCTTAACCGCCACCCTCCACCCCATGCACCCCACAACCTTAAATTGACCACTGCTTGTGATGTGTAGGCGTGGCCCACGATTCTCGGGTTCAGCTTCAGTGCCAAGAAGTGGGGCGAGTTCAGCGTGGCTGAGCTCGACGAAGTCAAGTTCGACGACCAGGCCTTCCACAAGTAAGTGTCGTGTGTCGTGCCGCTGTGTGCGTGTGTCGTGCCGTGCGTTGTGTGTCGTTTTGCTCACACATGCACGTGGTGCGTTTTGGCCAGGCTGGTGCTGCCGGAGGAGAAGAAGGTGTTGATCAGGTCGCTGGTGGAGAACAGTGCCGATTTCTCGGACATCATCAGCGGCAAGGGCGGCGGCTGCATTTTCCTCCTCCACGGAAGCCCTGGCGTTGGCAAGGTACGTACCACCATAGCACGACACACGAGACACGACACACGACACGACACACGACACACGACACACGACACACGACACACGACACACGCACACCACACCACCACACACGCACCATAGCACACGCACACAACGCTTGCTAACGGGTCAAGCGACGCAACAGACGTTGACGGCAGAGTCGGTGGCCGAGCTGCTGCACAGGCCGCTGTACTCGGTGAGCGTGGGCGAGCTGGGCACGGACACCAACGAACTCGAAAAGAAGCTCACCGAGATCCTCGAGGTCTCGAGCTCGTGGAACGCCGTCATCTTGCTCGACGAGGCTGACGTCTGTACGCCTGCCCTGCTGATCGTGCACGACCCACGCGCAACACGCGCAACACGACACACGACACGACACACGCAACACGCACAACACTGACGCACCGGTGCGTGGTCGGACTGCAGTCCTGGAGAAGCGGACGGAGAACGACGTGAAGAGGAATGCGATGGTGGGCATCTTCCTGCGCCTGCTCGAGTACCACCAGGGCGTGCTTTTCCTCACCACCAACCGCGTCAAGTGCTTCGGTACTCTCCCCCTACTCTCTTTCTAGAATATTATTATAATATTGCAATAGAATGCTAGATTACATGGAATTATAAGACTCTTTTCGACCGAAAGGCCACACGCCAATGATGATAACAAAAAAACAACAGACAAGGCGTTCCACTCGCGCATCAGTGTTGCCATCAAGTACGAGGATCTGGGCGTGGACTCGCGCACGCAGATCTGGACCACCCTGCTCCAGGTGGCCAACATCAGCGGCATCGACCCCGCCGAGCTCTGCGTTTACGACATCAATGGGTGCGTCCTCTATCCGTTAGCTATGATCAATTATCAACACTGTTGCTAGTCTTACTCTCTGTTCGGGTATCATGAATGATGTGCGCAGGCGACAGATCAGGACGATCATCCGCTTGGCGCTGGCGCTGGCCAAGACCGAGGGTGTGCCGGTGAACAAGACCCACCTCGAGCGCACCATCAAGGTCGCCCTCCAGTTCGCTGCCGACCTCGAGAAGGCCTTCGAGTAGTCCTACTTTAAAAGTGAATTTTCTATAACTATTGGAGCTAGCCAATCCCAGCATAAGAAAGTCCACCAGCCCAGGCACCACCAGACATCAAAGTGAAATCCTCAGCTTATGCTTCCTTCTTGTTCTGAGCAAGAACATGCATTTTATTTATTTCTTTTTTTCAAGGAGCCTGCTTGAGAGGCGCACTGGAGGCCACCTGTGCTCTAGGCAAGGGGACTTCCTTCCATGAGGTGTTGGAGTGGTAGCTGTTCTTGCTTGTAAGCACACCTCTGGAAGCAACCTCCAACAGTCCCACATCTGCATAGAACTTGCCCACAGTGGCCATGTAGGGAACAACCAATGAACTGTGCATGGTGGTGATGGTCATCTCCTGTGCAGTCTGCTGCTTGATAGTTGTGGTCTCCTCCATGCAGATGTCCCATGCAAACTTGTAGGTCTGTAGTTCAGCCCACAGCAGTAGGGATGCAACATCCTGTCAGAGCTGGAGGGGAACAGACTAGGAATTAAACACCACCTTAACAATCCTGGGCTTGCAGACACCCACCTTAGCTTCTACCAGCCACACTGTCCTACACAAACCCAATTCAATTCAGCTCAGCTTGCCATCATGCTGGAGGATGAATGAACTGCAGATATCACATGCACACCATCATCACATGGCTGGAAGCATCACTGCACACTGCCAAGTCTGTCAGGTGAGCACTCAAAGGTGGCACATCATCCACCACTGTTGCTGTCAGGGTTCTAGTCAGCTTCATCATCATCATCCTTTCTTACTACCATAAGAGCAGGCATTGGCCATTGGCACTGCACCAAACACATACCATGCTTGCTGGAGCATTTGTCACAGGCCTAAAACAACAATGGCCTGGTGGTATGCATGCATTTGTCAAAGGTTTGCTAGCAGTGTTGACAGCATGACACTCCAACACAAACATGCAACCCAAGGTGGCACACTGGCCTACATGGGCACCAGCATGCTGCACACTATCAGCACATGCTGCAGGCGACCCCAACACACACTGCTCTCAAGGTCAGTGCACACTGG